ACCCTGTGGTGTGAATCTTAGTGTTTTTATTATTCTGCGACATCCGAAGCTAGCTTCTATGGTGTATTTGATTGTCTATTTTCATTACTGCTAAGCTACGTTTAATCGTTTGAATCGTTCTTTCAACAACCCACCCCTATGGCTCTGTGATCATCTACGGGTGCGAAAAGTAGTTTTATTTTGTTTGTCTGACAGAAAATTTGGAATTTTCCGCCCTAAATGTTTGAGCTTGATCGCACCTTAATCTTCTTGGTACCCCGTTGTTAGAGATATATCTTTGCATGAACTTGATTGCAATATCTGCTGTTGTATTTGATACAACTTTTGCTGTCGGGAACTTTGACCACTTATCTATCGCAAGTAAAATGTATGCATCCCTATTCAATTCGTCCGGTAGGGGCCCCGCGAATTCTAATTGAACTTCCTCATTAGGTTCGACTACCGATTCCATTTGGAATGAAAGCTTCTTTCCTAAGATGGGTTTTAAATTTTTACCTTGCTCTGTGCAATATTTGCAAATTTAAGCCATTTGCACAATTGAACGGTGGATGTGCGGGAACCAGACATGGTGACTCAAGTCCAACATGGCTGCCGATGGCGGGTAAGTTAGATGGAGACTGTCAAGTACTGTCTGTCGCAGTTGGGAGGGAATGACGATTCTTTCATCGATGAGTAGGCAGTCCTCTCGGACATGTAGCCGGTTCCGAATGTTGAACCAATATTGTCCGTATGAGACTTTGATGGCGTCCCAGTCCCGCTTTTGCACAAAGTTGATCAGTGGACGCAGGCTTCGGTCCTTCTTGGTAGCTGCGGCGATGAACGGAACTCCCAGTATTCGCTGGAGTTTTCGACGGAATAGCGGCGTGTCCTCTTCCGTTTCGGTGGCTTTCTCCACTGTAGCCACTACGTTATCCATTATTTCGTTGTGGCTGGCCTCTAGCTGTGATGAAGTTGTCATCGTCGAGGGCTCAACGTTGGGTGTTGCTTCCTCTTGCAAATATACGCTGTGGTCCACGCGGCTGATCCATATTTCCTTTTCCACTAGAGTATCGTCTCCCGTATTGTTGTTTGTTTGTGTAGCTGTAGTCGACTTGGTTGTTTCGTTTCCAAGTTCTGTGTTGATCGTTATTTGTGTGGCTATGGTTGATCGGGCTGTGTCCGTTTGTGGTTTACCTGTTTATGAACTTTTTCTTTCCACTACAGTTGATTTTGAAGTCGAGCTGTCTCCAAAAGCGATTTTGAAAAATTTGAATAATTCCGTTTTGTGATCAGTTCTCTTACCTCAGTCACTAGCGCGATTGAAATTTATTGTGGCGATAATTCAGTTTTCTTCATCTGTTTTTCTTAGGTTGGTGGTCGCTTGTGCCACATCGGGTCGGAAAGGGTTTCTTCCCGATCGAATGTATTTCTCCAGTCAACCGAAAGTGTACGACCGCGTGGTTTGCTTGTTTTCAACTCTGCCGGAATGAATCCGCCTGAGAAAATTCTCGTGTCTTTTCTGCTCATTGTTTCAAAGTTGATCGCGTTGATCAATGTCTTGCTGCAGTTGAAATTTTTTGAATGCGAGAGATTTGACTGGTTTTGAACAGAATTTGAGTTGGACTGAATTCTGTTTTTGGGTAGCAATTGATCGCTGACGGAATGCTTGGAATGTTTACTTGTTAATTGAGCGTTTATTCTAGCATCTAATAACCCTTTTTTTTCCGCGCGCTTTTTGATCAGATCATATGGTGCTTTGTTTTGATTGGCCAGTTTATTTAGAATGACATTGTCAATCAGTTCTAGATTGTTTATGAATGTATTAATTGCCGCAGCTACGAATTCCTCATCGTACTCACTATTTAATATCAAAATTTAATATCAAAATGAAATGGTACAAATCTATCAATCCAGCGGGTTAGTCCGGTTTGACTTGTCTTTGATTGTTCACTTGCGTTTAAAGCGCTAATTAAAGCTTTGTGGTCGGTGATGACGGTAAAATGTTTGCCGTATAGATAGTATTTGAAGTGCTCACTTGCCCATACGACCCCTAATAGTTCTAGTTCGTTGACTGAATATTTTTCCTCGAGGGAGTTTAAAAATCGTGAAGCGTATGCTATAGCCACCCAACCTTCTGCTGAGTGCCAGTCTAATGCCGCTCCTAAACTTGTGTTAGATGCATCACAGACTAAGCGAGAATCTAAATGATGGTCGAAGTGTTTATTTTGTGTTACTTTTGCTACCATCTGTAAAATGTTTTTGAAAACTAAGTTAAGTTCAGGTAACCAATTGATAGGTGTGTTCTTTTCACTGTTTTTTAATAGCGGCTGCAGAGCTGCCGCTGCTTGTGCTAATTTTGGTATGTATCTTGTAAGATGGTGCATTGAACCCATGAAGCTTTTAATTTGTTTGAACGTTTTGGTAGACGATAATTTTTCAATTGCTTCAGTTTTCCAGTTTTCTTTAAAAGTAGTTTGGTTCCCTCACTGTTGATAGTGAAACCTAACCACTCAACTTGCTTGCATGCGAACTTACACTTGTCTAAAGAAATTGCAAGATTCTTCTCGTCAAGTTTCCTTAGCACCGTTTGGAGTTTTTAGAGATGTGTTTCTATTGTTTTTTTTTTGTTACGATTAGAATATCGTCCAGACATGCGTAAGTATTTTTGCAACTTCGGAAATTGCAATAATACTTACGCATAGTTACGTGAGCGTTAAATCCACTGCTTTTTGAAACTCTGCCGGCATAAACGTAAGGCCGTAAAATCCCGTTTGGATATGGTATGTACCTGTAGCATTTCCGCCAATGAGGCTGAAGTTGCATTGTTCTATTGTTGTTTTATCCAACGGGATTTGTGAATACGCGTATCGTAAATCGAGTGTAGTGAATAATGTCTGGGTTTGACTTGTCTGATTTTACCACTTGTGCGATCTTATCCAGAAGGAGGTTTATGTTTGGCATTTGGTATTTGGTTTTGTATATGTATTTGTTAATTTTTTTGGAATCGAGGGCCAGTTTAATCGTTTGATCCTTTTAAACTGTGATAACTATTGGGCTGATAAACTGTTTGTCTGAGCACTTATCGAGTTTGATAATGTGTTTTTGATCAATCAACTTGTTTAATTCCACTTTGACTCTTCTTCATAGATGTATTGGTATACGTCTACCCTTTTGTTGTACAGGTTCAAAATCTTTACTGAATTGTGTTTTCATTACGTGGTGTTTTGACTTTCCTATGCGTACGCATAATTGCTGAAAATTATCCATGACCCATTGTTTAAATTCGTGGTTTGATTAGTCGCTTCGGTGCACCGTGAGTACCCTGTGGGTTTGTTTGTGCTGAATCAGTTTATTGCCGATGCGTGGTAATAGATTCCGTCCTATTACATTTGCTTTGTGGTTGTCCACTATAATGAACGAAGCTGTTTGTATTTTCCATCCTCACCCGACTCAATCGTAACTATTAGCCTTCCTCTAGGATGGTTTGATTCACCGTTGTAATATGCTAAATTTCTGGCTGTATCCTCCAGTGGGATATTTTTGAACATTGCTGTTTGATCATTTTGTTGTATTCGTTGAGCGGTTTTTTCGTTTAGGAAAGACATCGGACTGCCCGAGTCAGCAATAGCAAATAGTTCTGTTGTATTCGTCTCCAATTTAACAATATGTCCATTTAAGACGTCTTCCGATAGTGTTATTCTGTTTTTTTTTCAAATGATTCCGATATTGCCATTGCGGAAAATTCGTCTATTTGATAGTTCTCATAACCATTGTTTGTGGTGAACTCAGCATATGCGATCAGGTCGGAATCCGTCTCCGTGCTCTCTATTTCTGTCTTCTCTTGCTGTTCCTCATTTGTATTTCCTAGATAATTTACCTTTGTAGACTGGCAAACTTTTGCAAAGTGTCCGCGTTTCGCGCATTTTGTTTTTTGCCGGACATGATTGTAGATGATTTGGACCATATTGATCTCCACACTTAAAACACTGTTTGGATTTTGTGTTTCGTTGTTGTTGATATTGCTGACCCCTTGTGTTTTGTGATCCACGTGGATACGGTCGGCCGCGAAAACCGCCCCGACCTCGCGGATTGTTCTGGTTGTTCTATTGGTTTTGTCTGCCACGTATATTAACATAATGTATCGGTTCTTGTTTTGGGATCACTGTTTGACCTCTGATCGGATTTTTTTTCATTGTACGACTGTGTTCTGTTCCTTTTTCACGTCGAATTGCGTATTCGTATGCCTCCTGTGGGGTACGTGTTTGTGCTAGCAATTCCTCTACAGTTTTTTCGTTGTTCATGTGGGCGGTAAACATAGCCCTTACCCACTCACTTTCTCGGTCGCCGCAATCGGCCCGTGAATCTAGTTCCACTAGGTCAGCATGAAATTGTTCTAAACACTGTTTTCTTTTGTTTTCGACAAATAAAATTATACCCCTCAAAAGCTATTATACGTGTCATGGCGAATATATCCTCCAAAATGGTCATGCATTTTTGCGTAGATACCATGTGTAGATGTAAATTAGGTAGTTTTTGTTGTATTTAGCGTTGTTCTTCAGCGCCGAGACACAAGAAAAGATAGCTGCGTACTTTTGCGTCCGCTTCATTCCACCTGGTTGAGTTACACAGGACTCCTTTCTCCCGCGATTTTATCACGTGGTTTTTCAAGCCCACTCATGTCATACCGCTATGTCCTTAAGGTTTGAACTGCTAATCCTTGAATCCGTATGGATAAATAATGTCGAGCGTGAGAGAGAGAAGTTAAAACAACCAGTTAATGTTAACGTTTATTTACGTTCTAAACCATAGTTCTCTTTAGACGCCGTTCTCGTCCTTGCTATCACGGTCATTCGACCAGTACACATTAATGTTATATAATATCAAAACATAAATGATATATAAATACATAATAAGTTTTATATGGAGTTTTATCTATCCATGCCGGATGACAGAAATATGCGATGATGATTAAGCTGATTACGATTGTCCAAATGATTTTAGAATAAAGAATAGGTACGAACCTTCATTTTCGTTGACAGTCACTTCAGTTGAAGATTGCAATCTTTTGTCTCGATGACCTTCTTCCTCGTCATCCGATTCTTCATTTTCATCGTCACTCGTGATCTGTCGGCAACTTTGAGCTATTGTGCTTCTGAGCTCAAGTCGTTCCTTCAAACTTAACGTTGATTGGCCAAGGTCCGCAGTACTCTCATTCATTTGGTCATAAGTACTTTCATTCATTTGGTCATAAATCTCTTCTTCGGGTTCGGTTATTTCGGTTAACTCTTCATTAAAATTGGACGGTTCGCTCATCGATGCTCCACTGTCCGGCGAGTCTGTATTCAAAACAACTGTACTGGTTCGGTTTTCGATCTGAGATCTTTTCGACGCTCTGGACATCCGTTCGCTGTTTCGTCCAAACTCTTTATCGTCTCGATTGTCAAGTAACGGTCGAAGCAAATCTCGAAGTTCTTTAACTTTACAACTCCGTTGGGTTTCTGATTCAATGTCGGCCAATAGACGTTCAATTTGCCGAAATGTTTGCGAATCGATCACATTATTTCTACTGACTCCCGAAAGCCGAATCGATAATTTCTTATTACCGTCCTCTACGCAGTTTCTGAGCTCATTTATCCATTCTGTTGTCAATTTTGGATTTTTGTTCGGCTCTCGAAACAAATACGTTTTTCCGTCGGGCGACACAATTTTGAACTGGTTTTGGGACCCTGGTACTTTTTTAACGTCAATTCCGGAAGTTTGAATATCAATCAACCCTGAAAATGATCCCTTGTCACCTTTGTTTCTGTACAGCAGAAGGCCGCTTTCAAGCTTAATATCTTTTAGCCGCCAACCCAACACACTTTTTTTCTCCAAAACTCCCGAAAACTTGACCGAGTTTGCTTTGAGCTTTGGGACATTTTTGTTCACGGCTGAAATTAATTTAAGCTGACTTGCTTTGCTTTCCATGATTAGTTCGTAACAGGTTAAATTTTCCGTTTTCAGCAGAATTTGATTTTCACCCAAAGGAAGAATTGATATTAGATCATCCAGGGCAATTTCGAAGATAATTATCGATTCTTTCCCGTATAAGGCTATAACGTTGTCATTCCTATTTAGCTGTAGAAGCTCCTTACGATCACTAACTTGGCCGTCTGTTACGTAATAAACGGCAAATTCTTCAATTGGGGAATCTATCGATGTAGAGACTTGCAATGAGTTTCGTTTCAGAAGTTTTTCAGCTTCTGCTCTAGATTTTCCGGTATTTTTGAAGTACGCTATCCTCTCTTCGTGTGAAGGTCGGCGGGTTTTGTACTCGTAGCCATTCACAATGCTAACCGGGCGGTTGTCGGTGGGTAGTCGCGCTCGGGTAGGTCCCGCAACATCGTTCTCGGGTATGTTTTGCAAATTGATCTGGCTACTTGCGGTGGTAATTGGTGAACTGTGATTGGTCGGCGATTGAGGTGGTTTCGTGCCAGCGGTCATGTCATTTATTTCACGTTCAATGTTTTTAATTTCCAACTCTAATCTTTGTTTTTCCTCGTCGTCACTTACGGTTGATTTTTGCTTAAAAAGTTGAGCAACCCTGTGGTTTCGATCCACCAGCCACTCGTTTGTGGCAGGATGGGCACTATGAGCCATGGTTATACTCTACCAATGATCGGTAAATGTGGTTCACAAATAATTTTCGGGTAATTTTTCTGATAGCTCAAATTGCCATGAGCCGTCCCATGTGTAGTTAAAATCGCGTTTTTGCTTAATACCAGTTTAATTTTGTTTAAACGTCTAGCGAATATTTGCGAATGGTATGTTTTGAATATATTTTTGGACAGTAAATATACTTAGTATACTATAGTTTGGTTAGATCGCTTTGCATATAATGTTAATCATGTTGCAAGTCGAATGATTGAGAACAGCTCGATTCTGCTTTAGAATCTTGTGACAACGAGAAATGCTTTGATTCGCATTTTGTTGAAAGTTGTTATTTTTTTCAGCTATTCTGAATAACGGTTTGTTACCAGAGTAATTTTTTTCAACTTCGAGTTCTTCAATTCGAGAATAAAATTATTTTAAAACGTTTTTTCAATTCAAGTTACCTTCATTTTCATGAATCGATTTTGCATTTACAAGAAACAAAAATTTTGGCGACCTAGGACTTTCCGAGCACTCCCAGAACACTATAGAGACCTTTTTTTTGACAAAATGATCTCCCTTTTTTGGAATTTTTTGACCAAATGTAGTATATGTTTGCGCCAAAAGTGCCTTTAGAAAAAATTTGGGGGGTCGCCAAAATGGGATGTCATAAAATAATACCAAGGGGGTCCCTTTTATTGGCGAGGGTTCGAAGTCCTGAGGGGCGAGGGGTACATGGAGCATCCGCCCTCGCACCAAGCCCAAACCCGCCACTGAATTTTCTGATTGTTTTTAGGCGCAACACATTGTTTTTTGAGTTAACTTAAACACCACGAAGACCTTGTTTATCCATATTATTTATTCCCGAGAGCACATTCTACATGAAAAACGCCAAAGTTGTTGTTTTTGGGCAGTTTGTGAACGTTGGTTTGAGAATCAAACTGTATGCCAAACATAAATTTTTTCCCACCATCGATTTGCTTAGATGTTTCTAAATCCTCTAAAAAGACAGGTTCCAGAAAAAGAATTAAACGCCTGTGTTGACTACAATATAGCAAAAATACTAGTCATACAGTTCCCATACTATAAAAACTGTATGAGTAGCATTTTTTTCAAAACAAAATAAATCAGCCCATAAACAAAGAGCAATGAAGCTCATAAAACTGGTAATTGGTCAAAAGGGTAATCTGTAAATCTGTAAACTTTCTAAACTGAACAAAAAATTGAAAAAAAAAAAAAACAAACTGACTAGCATTTCTAAAACCAAAAATCAACATGTATTGAACAACAAAAAGGTGTTAAATTAGTTATGAAGCTAATAAAACTAGTCAGTGGTCAAGAGGTAATCTCCAAACTTAATGAAATAGACAAAAAAATCAAAAAATGACTTTTTTATGAAAAAATGCCTGTCATGCTGTCAAACCAAAAAATTTTTCACCGTGAACTACAGAAAATTGTTAAATTAGTAATAAAAATTATGAAAAATTGATTAACAGTCAAATGGCAATCTCTAAACATTGTTGGAGTGGACAAAAAGTTTTCCAAAAAATTCATCTTTTTTTGAAGACAGGTTAGACATACTTTTCCTATTTACAATCATGCAATTCCATAGAATAGAAAAAATGCTAGTCAATAAAATTTTCATATTTTTTTAAGCGTGCGAAATGTAGGGGAAATTTTATGGGTTTTGTATGACCAGCATTTTTTGTCAACCAGTGCGTTTTACCATGAAGAAAAAAAACTGAGCATTCGTCATGAAACATTACAGAAAGTTTTCCATGAAAACTCTTTTTCAGTGGCAAGAAAAAACAAAGTACAATTTTTCCTTTGCTCCCTGTTCCAAATATAAAGTCAGTCATGAAAGAAGGTACTCAGTTTTCCTTTAAAAGTCAACAACAAAAATTTAAAAATCAAGCCATTCAAAACAAAATTTAGGAAAAATCTTCGGCAATGATAACGAGAAATAAATCCACTAAAAGAAACAGGTGAACGGTCACATTGCGTGTTTTTTTTCATAGTAACATTGATCTCTATGTCACACCTAACTGAAGTAGTCGGATTTTTTTGACAGTGCTGTTGTTAGAAAGTAACCTTACAAAAAGAAAAAGATTTGAAATGAGATAAAACGTTAAATATGTAATTTTCATTTTAGAAATGGAATAAGTTTTTCTGAGGCACCGCTGAGATGTTGTTTTTATCTTTTACCCAATTTCTCCTAATTCAATTGCAATGAAGCACGAGCAGTCAGATTAGATCCTTTCTCTTTGTTGGTCGTCTTGCTTGGGAAAAGGCTTTGCAGATCTGCTGGAATAGATTCGTCGTTGGTTATTTTGTTTTAATTAGGATCACGAAAAAAATTAACGGGAAAACTTTGCTCAGAATTTATTTTTACAGAATTGAAAAGAAAACGAAGAAAATAAATTAAAAAGGGAAAAAAATCAAAAAAAAAATGCTTTTTGAAAGATGTGACGCATTTGCAATTTTAATCAGCTATTTCTTCAACTACCTTATTTAGCATTGTCAAAAATTGTTTTTAATTGGATGATCAGCAAATTAATTTCTTGAGAAAAATTTGGTTAAACTTAATAGTCTCAAATTTTAGTTTTTTTGGTTTTTTTTTAAATAAATGTTTTCATTTAAAAAGATAAATATTGAAACCTGACCGTTCTAATGAAATGGAAGCAATGAGGAGTTTTTGAGCAAACTAACGTATCTTATAAGGTAGCCTTTAGAAAAATAATTTAGGTTTTAAAATTTTCCAAATCAAAATCTCAGATTACATAGGCCTCCTTTGGATGTACCTATAATCGATTTGTTTTCACTTTTCTTAAATGCGGGTAGTTCTTCTTCTCAACGAAGCATAAGTGAAAACCAACAATCCCTTGAAATTTTTCTAACAAAAACTTGGTGTTTTTCACACTCGTATAAATAAGACCCGTGATTAAATAACTAGAGTCACCAACATTTGATTATCAAATCTCAGAAACTGCTCTTTGTACTGTAAGTTCTACAGTGTCTATCAAAAAAAAAATAGATTTCCTCGAAGTCAAAATTGAAAAAAAAACACAGCTTTTGGATTATTTATCATAATTGTGCCAGTTACAAATTTCATGTGCAGAAGTTTACACGGCAAAAAATTTTGAGTGTGTAAGACAGAGTACAAGACTATACCGAAGAACCTGACAAATTGAAACAGAATCTAAAAAGTTCAGCAACTTTTCATTGGTTTAAAAGCACACTCAATTATTACAGACTATCGTATGTAAAAAAGATACCCAATTTCTCTCCACTAGAACTTTCAGTATATTTATCCGCATGAAATGAAATTCTACTTTTTACCAAAAATTTAAATCTGTAAATATGACCTATCACAAACTGCAAAACTGAAGTATCACAAACTGCAAATTAAGAACTTCCCAAAAAGCATGGTTCATTTTGGAAACATTTGGACACTAAAAGTTCATGCGAAAAGAAACTCCAAAAATTTATAGAGAAGAAAAGTTGTTTGAAGCTGAAACATAGTTTATTTTAATCAAAAACAGTAATGAAGAAACGTTTCAAATGAGCGTAACGACCATATTCTGTTCCTCAATTAATCTGCAGCAATTTCTAGCCCAGAATTGAAGACTATTGAAAAACTAAATAAACAAGACTGCTCGAATCAGGGCGAAGCCCTGAATGTTCCGACTGCTTTTTAAGGTTTATGGAGCAGTAATAACCTATAAAAACTAAATGTAATAAATGAAAAAAAAATTAAAAATTTTGTTTCTAAAACTTGAAATTATTTATGAAAATCATCCACCCAAACGCCATATAAAACACAAAAAGATAAATTTTACTCCTTGTAACAAATCAATTATAGCAAATAAGCTTCTTTCAACATTTTTGGAACGATTTCTCAGACGGATTAAATCTCCGCTTACGCGTTTAGAGCGCGAAATATATCGCGCGTTAATTGTCTCAAATTGGCCAAAAACGCCATCTTTAAAACCCCATAACTTTTTGAAAAATTCTCACAGGAAAAATATCTTTTCAAACTTAAGCTCAGGACAACAATACCTTTTGAATGATTTAAAAAACTCCGTCAGAAATGGCTAATTAAAAAGTCGAAATTTGTCTGAAGAAAAAAAACCCACCCCGAGCACAAATATTCCTTTACTTTCGTATCGAAAGTCGGAACAATTATGTTTGAATTCTTTCAAGACAATTTAATTGAGTATGCTCCGTTTTTCCAAACATTCTACTGAGGAAAAAAAATAGTCTGATTTCAACAATTTTTGGTTTCTACAACAAATCAATTTGACCCACCAAAAAGTTTCACCGAGTTTAAAACCAGTGAAGAACGAAGAAGAACGCAATGCCAAATTTTAACAAAACGTGAAACTAACTGCAAAAAGTATCTTAAGCAAGCATAACTTCCTACAAACAAACTTTGCTGTTAAAACTTCAAGTTAGATTCGAATACACAACATCAAGGTCTTTCAAGTTCTAACTTAAATTTTTCGGTTTTTATATAGATGCAGTAACCATTCTATTCTTTGCAAGCAGCGTTTTTGGTGATTTGTAAGCATTTGTGGTGCCTATGCTTAGGTTTTTGCATCAGAACTATGAAGTTAGCTGCAACAAATATCACAAAGAAGCCTAATTTTTTACAAGCTATTTTATAGTTTTAATATCAATTTTGATTCACACACAAAACATATAAGTCTTTTAGTTCCTATGTTAAAAGTTTCAAAAGAACTCAAAGTATAGTAGCCATTTCGATCTTTTCGAGTAGCGCTTGCTGTAATTTGTAAGCATTAGCGATGAGTATGCTTAGGTTTTTGTATAGAACTGTGAAATTAGCTGCAATAAATATCCCGAAAAAACTTAATTACATAACGAGACTGCTCGTATCAAGGCGAAGCCCTGAATGTTACGACTGCCCTTAAAGATCTATGGAGCAGTAATAACAAAAAAAATTAAGTGTAATAAAAATAAAATGATTTTTTTTTATAATTTGAGAAAATCATCACCCCACACGCCATATACAGTACAAAGTGATAAACTTTATTCGTAGTAACATATCAATTATGGCAAATAATTTTCCTTCCACTAGATTAGAACAATTTCTAAGACGGATTAAGTCTTTGCTTACGCGTTAGTATCTCGCGCGTTAATTGTCCCAAATTGACCAAAATAGCAATCTTTAAACCCCCATAAATTTTCGAAAAATGATCACAGGTGAAATATCTTTTCAAATTTAAGCTCAAGACAACAATACCTTTCGAATGATGTAAAAAAATTCCGTCAAAAAATCCGCTAGTTAAAAGTTCTGTCCGCCAAATTCTGTCCACTAGTTAAAAAGTCGAAATTTGTCTGAGGAAAAAACCCACCCCGAGCACAAATATTCCGTTACTTTCGTTACGAAAGTCGGAACAAAAACAATTTTCACAGTTGCAATATCAACTTGGATCCGATTACAAAGGCGGTCTTTCAGGTCCATTTTTGATAAATATCAAAACTAGTTTATGTGAACAGTAACCATACTGTCATTTTCGAGCAGAGTTTACGGTGATCTGTAGGTATTAAGGCCACATTTTGTCTATACTATAGAATGAGTAGCGACAATGCCTACAAAACAGTCGTTTCAGATGTTTTGAAGAGAAAAATGAAGGAAATAAAATCCTCAGCTCTTTCATGTTCTTCTCAAAGAATAAATGACAAGCCTGTAGCCGATTGCTTTTAATTTTTACTTTTTATCTTAATTTTTGAAGATTTTTGTTAAGTATTTCCGCTTTTAAAAACTCTCTATGATCATGAAAGTGTAAGCGCGAAAACGAATTAAGCGCTCTCGTATCAATGGAAATTTGTTTGAGGCAAATTAAGGCTAATTGATCATATTCAATTGCAATAAGACTCAAATTTAAACAACTCACTCTAATTTTTAGTGTTAAAGAGGAAAAAAAACGAAAAATAAATTAATGGTTTATCCATTTTTAAGAAAAACTAGTTAAAAGGCATTTACAAAATTAAAGGTTTTGCCCAAATAGGAACAGTTTTATTGGAACCATAAAATGTAACAACTGAATATGTTAGCAGTCTAAATACAACAGAACACTGTCAGGCAACAAATGAAATCATTTTGAGCTCACGACCTTGAAAAATCCTTGCGTCTTTAAAATTCCTTCAAAACTGGTGAGAGAAATGCAGTTTGCTGCATAAAAACCATTCAAATGGATCGGCAGCAAAGTTTTACTTTAAACTAGCTGAAGTTGGTCGCTATTCAATTTTGAGCTGAATTGAGTTGCCACCTGCTCTACGCTTTGTTAGGAAACTAGAAGTTTTGTATCCATAAAAATATCCGAATTTGTCTAAGCTGGCAAGTTTTGCACCCGCAGAAAATTATACAAAATCGTCACAAACACAAGCTTTTTTCCAAATGAGTTTTGATAAGTGCTTCAAAAAAATTCTGTTAACAAGTTTTTTGCAGGTAAAAAAACAATAGGCAATTTCGAGTTCTGTCTCGAATTTTTTCAAGGTAGCTTGAAAAAATGTCTCTATTTTTTTTCCTTTAAATTCACTTAATTTTTTTTCAAATTTGTTTGAAGTTTATATATCAACCGTTTTTTGCTGGAGAAAATTATCTCACTCAGCTTAGATAGTCCGTCTTTTTATTTGTACTTTTGAAAAAAAACAATATTTTAAATGTTTAAATAAAGCTTTGTAAAAAATTGTAGGTTATTCCAAAAACATTTTTAAAACTGGGAACGAACAACAGAATCTCGAATCAACCGTACAATTTCCCCAAGTCGATTTAACGAAAGTAACGGAATATTTGTGCTCGGGGTGGGTTTTTTTTCGGTCAAATTTCGACTTTTTAACTAGCCATTTTCAACTAAATTTTTGAAAATCATTCAAAAATTTTGTTGTCCTGAGCATAATTTCGAAAAGACGTTTCAAGTGTGATCATTTTTAATAAATTTATGGGGGTCAAAATATTGCCATTTTGGCCAATATGGAACAATTAACGCGCGATATTATTCGCGCTATTAACGCGTAAGCGGAGATTTACTCCGTCGTAGAAATCGTTCCAAATTGGTTCAAAGAAGCTTATATGGCATAACTGATTTGTTTTCAGGAGCGAACTTTATCATTTGTGCTTATTATGACATGTGGGGGATGTTTTCACAAAAAATCTCAAAGTTTTTGCCAAAAAATAATTTAATTTTATTTCATTATATTTAAGTTTTCCATGTAATAACTGCTCCATAGACCTTTAAAGTCAGTTACAACATTCAGGGTTTTGCTCTGATACGAGCACTATTGTTCAGTTTATATAGCGTATTCAATTTGCTTTAGTAATACGTTTAATTTTGAACGAATCTATGCTACACTCAAATATATAACCTTGAGTATAGCCTAGATTCGTTCAAAGTTAAGCGTATTAATAAAGTTAATTCAATTGAAACATTAATTTGTGTAATTGTTCCGACTTTTCTAACAAAAGTAACGGAATAATTGCGCTCGTGTTGGTTTTTTTCTTCAGACAAAATTTGACTTTTTAGCTGGCCATTTTCGACTAGATTTTTGAAAATCATTCAAAAATTTTGTTGTCCTGAGCATAACTTCGAAGACATGTTTCACGTGTGATTATTTTTTAAAATTTTATGGGGGTCAAAATATTGCCATTTTGGCCAATATGGAACAATTAACGCGCGATATTATTCGCGCTATTAACGCGTAAGCGGAGGTTTACTCCGTCGTAGAAATCGTTCTAATTTGGTTCAAAGAAGCTTATATGCCATAACTGATTTGTTATTAGGAGCAAACTTTATCACTTTGTGCTTATTATGACGTGTGGGGGATGTTTTCACAAAAAATCTCAAAGTTTTTCTAAAAACTAATTTAATTTTATTTCATTATATTGAAGTTTTCCATGTTATTACTGCTCCATAGACTTTTAAAGTCAGTTAGAACATTCATGGTTTTGCCCTGATACGAGCACTATTGTTCAGTTTATATAGCGTATTCAATTTGCTTTAGTTATACGTTTATATTTGAACGAATCTATGCTATACTCAGTGCTATAACCTTGAGTATAGCCTAGATTCGTTCAAAGTTAAGCGTATAACTAAATTAAATTCAATTGAAACATTAATTTGTGTAATTGTTCCGACTTTTCTAACAAAAGTAACGGAATATTTGCGCTCGTGTTGGTTTTTTTTCTTCAGACAAATTTCGATTTTTTAACTGGCCGTTTTTGAGGAAATGTTTTCACATCATTCAAAAAGTTTTATTGTATTGGGCTTAGGTCTGAAACAAAAATTCACCTGTAATCATTTTTTGTAAAATAATGGGGGTTTTTAATTGCTATTTTGACCAACTTGTGACAATTGACGCGCGATATGTTTCGCGCTAATAACGCGTAAGCGAAGATTTAACCCGCCTTAGAAATTGTTCTGATATGGTTGAAGGAAGATTATTTGCCATAAATGATATTTCACTACGAGCAAAATGTATCACCTTGTACTGTATATGGCGTGTGGGGGGATAATTTTCACAAAATAAATTTCAAATTATAAAAAAAAATTTCGGTTTATTTTTATTACACTCAATTTTTTCATGTTATTGCTGCTCCATATACCTTTTAAGGTAGTTGAAACATTCAGGGCTTCGCCCTGATTCAAGCAGACTTGTTAGTTTTATACAAATGCAACCGTGCATAAAAAAGTAAGAACCAATTTGGTTCGCGCGTTTGTATGAAATGCCTATTTTTAATAGAACTATTTTCTAGAATCAATACATGCTTCGGGAGGGCATTTTACGGTAGGTCACCTAATAGGAGAGACTGTACGGGTGATCCAGAATCTCTTTGAGAGGCAAAAATTTTTTCACCAGGCGCCAAGCTAAATGTTTTCCAAACGTTTTTTTTTTTTCATATGTGAAGATAATTTTTGTTTTTGTACTAAAACAGCAACCGCTGATCAGTGGCGTGCGCAGGTTTTTTTAAGGGACAGATAAAGTTTTTTTAGGCCGATCAAATTCTATCCACTGACTCAACTGACTGATTCTTCCTCTTGGTTCACAAAAACAAAAAAACATAATATTCAAAACTTGAAACTAAAACTGAATCATATTTTCCGTATGAATTAATTCAAAATTATTTATTGTGAATATACTAATCATTTCAGTTTTGTAATGACCATTGATTTTTTATCAAAACTTTGTAACAACAATTGAATAAATAATGATCAGCAAACCAACTGGCAAAAAACATAATGGCTGATGAAACAGAACAACAACTAAAATCTATCACATGAATTATAACAATAGCTAGAATTTTGAAATTCGAATAAGAATAGTTTTTTGATTTTGTTTTCCCTCAAATAGTTTTGTACTCTTCTACGATTCCTCACCAAATATAATGATGAGTTTTACAGTGTGATTTCTAAATTTACCGGTAACTATTTGAAAATGTGTAGCAACTTTGCTGGCCAATTTTCATAACAATTGGACCACGTGAACAAAAGCTAAAATTAAAAATTCAAAGTATGTGTGCTTGGGCTGGGGTAGGGGGAGAGATTTTGGTAGAAGAGCCGTTTTTCTTTTTGCTTATCCATTATTGCAGTTGCATCATTTTTTGGAACTCAATATTTACTCATTGCCTCATGATGACAAAATTTGCACCACTTACGGCCCTGAAAATTGCATACAAGCTATTTTTCCATGCAAGACAATTCATTGTTCAAACTCTTTCACTTGTTCACTCTGACATGTTTTAGTATATGAAATATTACACCAATATTCTTTATCGGAAATCGGAAACCGTATTTTAGCAAAAATGAAAAGGGGGCTGAAGAAGAGTCCAATAAAATCTACACGTGATAAGTTAACTCAAAAGGGGGTAGTTAAAACTGAATGGAATTTTGCTTCAGGCGACGTCCAGTATCACTTTGGCCCCTCCTGTAGCACATGTGTATCCCCCTCCCAAATGGGTAGTCATCATCATCGAGTGGTCCCTTCTACGTCTCCCACACCTATAAAAAATTTCACCCATAATAATATTTAAAAAACTAAGAAAAATTATAATGATAATAGTAATAACAATCACAATCCTCTAACTTTATAAATTAGTTTTTTTGATGAAAGGTAGAAATTTTGTCGATACATACCACGTCCGCATCTTTATGACATGATTCGTGAAAGTTTAATTTTATTGTCCTCAAAATAATTTCGAACCGCTATAATTACGTACATTGAAAACCCGTACATTGGAATTTCATTGAAAACCCCCATCAAATTGTTTGTTTTGGTTTTTTTTTGTTTAAAATACATACATGATAACCAGGCGCGGATCTAAGAATTTCTTGAGGAGGGGCGGTGGCCGAAAAAAATGAAAAATTTGTCGACATTTTTCTAGGTCGGCCAAACTGTCTTTCTGAGGTCTCGCAAATAAAGACCGTAATTTGACCAAATTTTGCGCGTCGCAGGGGGTTTTTGAAAAAAGCCAAAAAGGAGTTTTTCAGCGCGCGCTCCCTCTCAAAATTAGTATAGATTGGCACCAAAGGCGCCTTTAGAAAAACTTTAAGCTGAGACAGCCAAAAGTGGATATCTCAAAACAGTACAAAGGTGGGACCCTTTTGGTCGGCAGATGGTCAAATCCCTGAGGGAGAAAGAGCGTCCCCCCCGCCCCCTCCCTAAATCCGCTACTGATTATAACCACTACCTGGAAATTTTTACAGGCATTGACTTTCCATTTTGATTTTTCTCTGTTATTCCGATTTAGAAACGCATTCAAAATGTTTTTTGGCAATTTTTTGAATAAGGACGTTTCTTATAAGAAAACTGTAAGTTAGCGGAAATTTCCTACAAATCTTATAGGAAGTTCTGAGACAGGGAGCTTTTGTAGGATGTTCTTTGTAGGATGTTCAACCCGGGTAGTCAGAATCATAAGCATAACAAACATAATAATTACAAAAATAATCATTATCATCATAATAATAACAAAAATAATCATAACCAAAATAATTATAATCATAATGACAATATTCATAATATTAATGAAAATAAAAACAATCATAGTAATCATAATGATCATAAGAACCATAATAATCATAATCATAATAATAATTATTATAACAGTTATAATCATACTAATGATCACAATAGTCAGGATAATAATCATAATAAATATAAGGATCATAACAACTATTATAATCATAATCATAATAATAATAAAAATAACAATTATAATCTTAAAAATAATCACAATAGTCATGATAATAACAATCATAATAATCATAATAATCAAATATGAAAAAATCCCATATATGCCCCTGTCTAAAATGTCTGAACACGAATCAAACATGTAATTTTAATAAAAAACCTTATAATAACAATTTAGCGAAAAATGGTTAAGCACCCACTGGACTTAACAAAAAACTGTTTTTGAAGTAAACCAGATAAGCTAAAATTTGAAGTAAACCAGATAAGCCAGGCTGCGAGCCAAAAATGGTATCTGGTTTTTAGCCAAAAATTCACAAATCATGGATGTTAGATCTTATTTTTTTCCAAAAAATTTCAGGGCTGCGCACAAACAAAACTGCTGAAAAAACACAATCGTTTTTTGTAGCAGTATCAAATTTAAGTCAACCAATTATGTTTAAATTCATTGCTTAAGGTCTTTTAGTATTAACTCGGGTAATTTTTATAAACTGTTTTGAGCTAAAAAAATGCTATAAACGTTTTTTTTTTCAAACATACATTAGTGTAAAATGATCAGAATTGTGTCAATTTTTTCCAAAAAATATGATAAGAGATTTTTTGGACCATAATAAAAATTTATCAATTGTTACACTATCAACTTAAAATTGTTTTTAGAACAGTATCTATTATTTTCTGTTCACTTCCAATTTCAAAATCTGTTAATGTCAAAACTTAGCTTACTTATTGGTATCGAGCAGTTTTGAATTTGGAAACAAACGCAAAGTTATAGATACTAGAGCAAAACAATTTTAAATTACTAGTAATACAATTGATAGATTTTACTAAGTACCAAAAATAAATATTTTTCCCCTTTAATGTTTCCTGAAAGTGTTTAAAATTAAAATTCAGAAATTAAATTTCTGACCCTTTCTTATAACAATTGATGTTTGAAAAAAATTTTTGTTGTAGTTTTTCGTGTTTTCATATCTTTTTGCCCAACCGAGCAGCGTAGATTTATCAAAACCCATTCCAAACCGTAACAAACGGTTCCAAACTGAATGCGTTTTTCCAATTGTAACAATTCACAAACCATTCTTTTAAAATTTAATTCAAAGACCTTTTTTTCTCATGAAAACATTCAATCTCCGTGTTAATATGATTCGGAAAACGCAAGTTTTGTACCAGTGTTCAAGTGATTAAGTTTTTGTTTCTGATAAAATGTGACAGCTTTCTGCAACATATCTATTTTCAAAATTTTTGGTATTTAAAAACATTATCACTTTTGTTACAGTTAATCACAAATAGCAGCCGTGGATTTAGGGGGGGGGGGGAAATGGGGGGGGGGGGGAGCTTCCTCATTTTGTGATGATTAATTTTAGCTGACTGACCCTATATTTTTCTAAGGTGCCTTTGGCGCCAAATCATATTAATTTGAGAGGGGAGCGCGCGCCAAAAAAACGCAAATCTTTTGGTCAAAATTTTCCAAAAAAGTGCCTAAAAACGCCTTTGTTTGCCTGTTTTTTTTTCAAAAATTTGGTCCACCGAAATAAAAGGTAAAGAAAATTTTAAATATTTTTGAAGTCCATCCTCCCTCTCGCGAAATTCCTAGATCTACCCCTGGTTTAGTGATTTCTTACTTCGGTTTGATTTTTACTGTGTTAATAGCTACATTATACTCCATTATAACTAACTTTTTTGTGAAGTAAAATTTTGATAGAAAAGGTATTATAATCTATTATAAAAAACTATAATAGATTATAAGATTTTTATTAGACCTTTTCGGTAAATTATAATCAAATATATTTGATTTTAATTGATTTAAATGCCATCAAAAATGTTATAATTATAATGGATTATAAATCGTTTAAGCAAATAAAATTGGCGCATAAAATCAATTATAGTTTTGCTAAAGGTACAATTATATTTTTAATATAATCGATTATTTTCTCTTTTTACTGAGTGCGGGAAAGGTTGAAAAATTGACGAACTAATGAAAAGGACATTTTTTCTTCATTTAATCTCTCGCATGCCAATTTGAAATACAAAGAGATGTATTTAGCGTCTGTCCTAATAATAATAATACCAAATAGTTTGCTCAATGTAACTTGGAATCGCATTAATTGGCTGCTTCGGTGTGTTACAAGAACGCAATCTATTGCATCTTAATTATCTCATATTGGCCAAATTAGCGATTTTCAATCCCAATAATTTTACAAAACATAATCACATAATCACAGGTAAGTTTTCTTGCCTTTAAGATCCGGATAACAATATTTTTCAGATGATAAAGAAAGTTTTTGTCGTAACTGCCTAATTAAGAAGCCGAAAATTGACTAAATAAAAAACAGGCCCACGCATAAAAACTCCGTTTTCTTCAAAAGTCAGAACAATTAATTGTTTCTCAACCATGGTCATATGGTAGTGCGGAATTGTCAACTAAATTCAGTTTAAATAGAAAGGAATTGCCGTTAAAAGATCCATAAAAATACATAAAAGGGCTAACTTTCCGCTCAATCTGCTATTTTTTCAGAGATAGCGTTCACTTGAAAGTTCATATCCATTCAGTTCAAAATCAGTTCTGAAATATCGGACAAAATTTGCGGAAAAGCTTCGTTTTTTGTTTCAAAGCGACAAGATCTTTTAACTTCTCGTTAAATATATATGTTAAACTTCATAATCAGAGACTATAGCACAAGGTTTTCAAGACACGGTTGGTTTTTATTGTTCAATATTATCCGATACAAGGGCGGATAAAGGATTTTCTCGAGGGGGGGCTAATTTTTTTAAAAAAATTTCGAAATTTTTGTCGACGACTTTTTTTTAGGTCGAACAAATTGATTTTCCGAACTCTCCAAAAGCAGTAAAATTACCCAGTTTTGCCCAAAATTTTTGCGCCGCAGGCAAACTTTTGAAAAAGGCGTTTTAGGCATTGTTTGAAAGTTTTGACCACAATTTACACAATTTTTTGCATCACACGATACTTTTTCGGATAAATTTACGCGATAAGTTTTTAGAGTGTGTGATACCAACTTTGCAAATTACCAGAAAATCAGACTTAAGATGAAACTAAGATATAATTAAAAGTATGTTGCGCCAAGGAAATTACCTTGGACGGAACTAATGAAATTAAGACCCATTACTATTATGGTATGAGGGACACCGCCCACCGTTTTTTACCTGAAAAGGAGAGATTTGACCAGCGCTTCTCGGTAGACTGTCTGGGTCGCCGCATACACAAATGGGTTCACACTGCAGTTCACAGTCAACTGCACACGGGCAAAGTCCTGAAGTTCAAAGGTCAAATGTCAAAAACATTAATAACACAGTGTCACCTTTACATTTTGGGATTCTTTGCCACAATTTTTTTGCAACAGACGCTTGTAAGGACAATCGGTTTAACCAGGGTTTGTGTCCATGATGCAAGACAACTTGTTCATTTTTCGTGTCAAAAATGTACTATTTTGGAGTACAGCTTTTTTATTTTTCTATATTTTTTTTATCCCTCGCCAGTTCGTATTGCCTAATTGAATCTAATCAAAATTAATCTCTCCCACTTTTGGCAAACTGACTTTTCTGCACGTTAGACATTCACCCTCCGAAGAAGTCGTTGCTCAGAGGTCGAAAATATAGAAAAATTGGCGCTTACTTGTAGCAGTTTGAGAAACCCTGAAAACTCCATTTCGTCAGGATAGACGAGGAACATAATAGCCAAGAAGTTACTAAACAGGGAGGTCAAAAAAGCGAAACCGACAATCAGCAAATAGCCGATTATGATGCGTTTTTGGATGGGGTTGAAGGATCGGTTGACCGACTCATTTGCGGCTTGACTTCTACCGAGCGACAAGTTTTGTCGGTACGCTTTCCAGTAAATGATTGAATACAAAACAGCTTCGACTACAAACCAGGTCGAAAAACTGACCAAATTTGAAAAGTTGTAAATCATTTCGTTTTCGACATAAAATGCGGGGCAAGTGAACAAAACTCCGAAAGCTGCGTGACAAGTGCCAAAAACTAGCCAGCTTGACAGAACAGTTTTGATCCAGTGTTTCCGGAAGTAATGATAATGAAGGGGTCGCATTATGTAGACAAACCTGTCGACGGAAACCACAGTTAAAGCTATCATACCCATAAATGTCAGGGTATTGCCGGCAACCGAGAAAAAACACGAGTTGATTAATTTACCATAACTTGGTACTTCCGAAGGTATAAAAACTGTCAGGTCCATTATGAGCGAAAGGGCGTCTATGACAGCTAGATTGGCCACAAGATAATTGCGAACTTTTTGAAGTTTTTTATAAGAATAAATACAAAATATTACAAGACAGTTTGCGACTAGACCAATTATTGCTATAAAGTAACGAAATAGAAACAAAAAAGAAACTTCAAACGAGTCGTTGGACTCGGAAGTCTTTTCATAACTGAGAAGACTGGAAGTCGAAATATTTTCCATTTTTGCTGGTGAAATAAGAATATATACAAATTGATACACAACGCACGCTAAACTTTCATGGAAAATAATCGATTTTAATGGAGTATATCAGCAAAGAGCTTACCATATATAATCGATTTTCATGACACATTTAACAAGAATGGATTTTCAGGGAATGGATTTTCAGTCGAAATAATTTATGGTAAAAACAAATTTAGTAAACTACGTCTGCTCCTAACGATCGGTTCATCTGCTTTTTTTTTGTAAAATCGTGCACTTCCCGGATTTCCGATTGATTAAATCTGAAATAAAAAGATGGATCAGTTGAACAAATCATACCATAAAACGTCTATTTTTTGCTTAATTCTTAGTATTTATTAAAAATGAAGTCTTTGAGAAAAATTTAAAATTTTTTGTATTATAATCATTCCTGATATAAAGCTAAAGTTATTTTGCCCCCCCCCCCCATAACTTCAAAAAAATTTCTCACTTTGGTACAATTTTTAGCTGTCCAGGGGGCTATTTTCATGATGAAGGGAGCGAATGATGGAAAAATTTCAACCAATCAGAATCAGGAGAAGTTCTTATTCGCTGATACCCGTGCTGGCAACAAATGGATTGCAATTTTTTTTCTATAAATAAACTAGAAGAGACCTTAAAAAAATTAATAAGAAGCGATTTATAATCGATTTAGTTTAATAGAAAAATTTAGCTTTCAAATGAATTTCAATCGATTCTAAATCAATTTAAATCTTTTTTTTTTGTCAACGTGTTTTGCTTCCTTTTTTATTACGGAGTTGAGTAACAACAAAATTGAGATATATAGATTATGTTCAGATTTTGTAGACTATCAAAAAAATAAAAAAAAATAGTGGAAATAAAATGTTAACAAATGCTTTTCATTTAAATTTTTGTTTTAATTTTTGGCCTGAAAATAAGCTCTGAGGATAACTAATATCTAATTTTTCTGCACAAAAAATGATTTTTTTTTATTTTACAGTTTAATTTTATGCTAACTGTCTAACAATATTGAGCATAAAACGTTGATAATAAAAATGACATTTGAAAATTTGTTTGCATAGTTTTTTTTCCCATTGCCTCGGGAACCCTTAGTTTTGCAAAAATTTGAAAGAGAATCCCTTAAACGTTGAAGTTTGCGGTACAAAACTATCCTCGAGTGACTCTTACTCTTTGTAACTCTCCTTCTAATTTTCTTGAGTAGAACAATAATATTGATTTTTGTTTCTACTGTAAAAATCCATTCAATTCATTCTAAATCGATTTACGTATCTAAATGAGCTATCGTAAATCGATTTCTATACAGTATTTTATCAGTAGAAAAAAGGTTTTAAATCGATTTCAATCTGAAGTTTGCCAGTGCTGGCAGGCTTTTGCAGTGAAACGAAGGAAAAATTAGCAGAAAAAGAAATAAAGCATGCACAGTTAGTGCAGATTTAATAAATTTTTTCCATTTTTGCTGGTGAAATAAGAATATATACAAATTGATAAACCACGCACGCTAAACTTTCATGGAAAATAATCGATTTTAATGGAGTATATCAGCAAAGAGTTTACCATATATAATCGATTTTCATGACACATTTAACAAGAATGGATTTTCAGGGAATGGATTTTCAGTCGAAATAATTTATGGTAAAAACAAATTTAGTGAACTACGTCTGCTCCTAACGATCGGTTCATCTGCTTTTTTTTTGTAAAATCGTGCACTTCCCGGATTTCCGATTGATTAAATCTGAAATAAAAAGATGGATCAGTTGAACAAATCATACCATAAAACGTCTATTTTTTGCTTAATTCTTAGTATTTATTAAAAATGAAGTCTTTGAGAAAAATTTAAAATTTTTTGTATTATAATCATTCCTGATATAAAGCTAAAGTTATTTTGCCCCCCCCCCATAACTTCTAAAAATGTCTCACTTTGGTACAATTTTTAGCTGTCCAGGGGGCTATTTTCATGATGAAGGGACCGAATGATGGAAAAATTTCAACCAATCAGAATCAGGAGAAGTTCTTATTCGCTGATACCCGTGCTGGCAACAAATGGATTGCAATTTGTTTTCTATAAATAATCTAGAAGAGACCTTAAAAAAATTAATATGAAGCGATTTATAATCGATTTAGTTTAATAGAAAAATTTAGCTTACAAATGAATTTCAATCGATTCTAAATCAATTTAAATCTTTTTTTTTGTCAACGTGTTTTGCTTCCTTTTTTATTACGGAGTTGAGTAACAACAAAATTGAGATATATAGATTATGTTCAGATTTTGTAGACTATCAAAAAAATAAAAAAAAATAGTGGAAATAAAATGTTAACAAATGCTTTTCATTTAAATTTTTGTTTTAATTTTTGGCCTGAAAATAAGCTCTGAGGATAACTAATATCTAATTTTTCTGCACAAAAAATGATTTTTTTTTATTTGACAGTTTAATTTTATGCTAACTGTCTAACAATATTGAGCATAAAACGTTGATAATAAAAATGACATTTGAAAATTTGTTTGCATAGTTTTTTTTCCCATTGCCTCGGGAACCCTTAGTTTTGCAAAAATTTGAAAGAGAATCCCTTAAACGTTGAAGTTTGCGGTACAAAACTATCCTCGAGTGACTCTTACTCTTTGTAACTCTCCTTCTAATTTTCTTGAGTAGAATAATAATATTGATTTTTGTTTCTACTGTAAAAATCCATTCAATTCATTCTAAATCGATTTACGTATCTAAATGAGCTATCGTAAATCGATTTCTATACAGTATTTTATCAGTAGAAAAAAGGTTTTAAATCGATTTCAATCTGAAGTTTGCCAGTGCTGGCAGGCTTTTGCAGTGAAACGAAGGAAAAATTAGCAGAAAAAGAAATAAAGCATGCACAGTTAGTGCAGATTTAATAAATTTGTCGCCCTGTTTTCAATTTTTTTTATATCCGTATGTGAGAAAATTTAGTTTTTTGTCCAATGGTTCTTTGACCTTGCAATGCTTGTAAATTTTTGTATTTGCAACCTGCTAAATTTTTAATTGGTGTGCATTAAGTTGTATGGCCTAAATTTATTTGCTAACTTTTAAAATTTTCGCAATTTCTCTGAGATTTTCGACAAGATACTTTGGTAAGTTTTAGCGCTGCTCAACAATGGTGCTATCTTCAAAAATGATCCAGAGTTTTTCTGCACAAAACGTGTATTTAGTTCATTATAGGCACTCTTTTCGAAGCTGAATCGGAGAACTAAGCCCCCCATCCATGTTGCAAAAGTGAGGAGGCTCGAAATTCGTTAGTGGACACAAAATTCCTGAATGACTTAACCATTGAACTGGTCCATCATAAAGGTGGAAAGGGGTGGACACTAGGGAACATAGGAGGGGCGAGGGTATAGTTATAATGAACAACTAAATCAAAATAAGACCGCGAAACTGATGAAAATTTCTGTAGAATATTGAATGAACAATTATTCAGCTGGAAATTTATTTAAGAAATGAGAAACTTTTTTGGCGTCTTTTCTCATTTACTTGAACTTGGTATCACTTATGAGGTTAATGAATACCTGAAGTTTAGATAAAAAAGTCTAATAATGCCACGATAATTGGGAACTAGTGCTTTAACTAGATCCGGATTCCTTTTTTCATTTTACCTTCATTTTTGACACATATCAAAATTGTCAAAAGGCTTCCTGATTTTATAAAAATTGTGGGTTGGCCTGGTCAAATTCACCTCTAAGACTCTTTTTTTTGAATTTACCAAAATAGGGGCAATTAGAAGGTTCCGTTCTTTGACACAGGTATCTGCCCGGTTTGGGTTAATTAAAAATTTCAAGAACTTAAATGGATGCTAAGTTCAGCTGACTGAGTAATGGAGGTTTTTATCAAATCAGTTCGTGATCAAATTTTTGACTAAAATAGGGTAAAATTTAGCTGAACAAATGTACGTAATTATCAAATCTGTGAATAAATAAGCATACTTCTAAATCTTTTTCAGCCACAGCGTTTCTTTTTTGCTAGATTTAACTGCAATAAAACAACATCAATGTCAGTTTTTCATTCTGCATTTTTGCCAATTCTTTCATTCTAAGTTTACTATCTGATTAACATGGTAGTAAGAAATCAAAAAATATGATGCAATTAAGTAGAAATTATTGCCTGTTAACCATTGAAGATGATGAGAAAAAAATGGATATTTATTTTTTAATGGGAACATAGTTCAAAAAATTTCAAAAACCGAATCTTGGCAAACGAAAGATTAGCATCAGTGTCATTATTTATATTGATTTGAAAAAAAACTTCGCAAATCCAGAAAACATTGCGTAGACGATAGAGTTTTCTAAATTCGTCTAAAATTGGTTTAGGTTTAACATGATATAAACGAAGTATAACAATGTTAAAACACACTGCCATAATAATAACAACCTTTTTTATAGGTGTTTCATGAATAATATTAAGATAACGTCATAATAATGTAATTTTCAAGTACCGGAGATATGCAGAATTTTGAAAAACAAAAAGAGCTTATAATAGTTTTTGTTCTACGGAAGCCAATGAGTTTTATAGCCTGTTAGATATGGCAGGGCAGCTGGCAAAGTTAATTTAAAACCATCTTTGACGTATAAGGTTTACTCAATGAATAACTTGAATCCATTGCAAAACAATTGTTTTTGTTTAAGTTGCATCGCGAAATGGCGCAGGAGAAACTACATGGCCTTTTTTCTACCTCAAGATTTAAAATAACCCATTAAAAGGTCCAAAGATTTATAAAGTTGGAAGCGTCGCATTTAGCATTGTTACAGTTAGTAGAGGTATGTGAACATAGAAAGCATGTTAAAAAAAATTGAATAACCGGTTACAGACGCCTACGACTACCACGTTCCAGAACCAAAACGAGTTTAGTAGTGAAATTTTTGGCAAAAAAAAAGATGTCACAGGTTGGACTAAGTTAACATCCTCCCCATACCCCCTCCCCCCAAGCCGTTTGGTTGGGGGGGGGGGGTATGTTATCTTGGTTCTAGGTTGGGATTTTCCAGCCAATCAGAATCGCAGAATCGAGCGTTTTGCATGCAGCGCTTACCAAATTTAATTTGAAACAAGACTGCTCGTATCAGGGCGAAGCCCTGAATGTTCCGACTGCCTTTTAAGGTTTATGGAGCAGTATTAACACTACAAAGTTCAATGAAATAAAACAAAATGAAAAAAAAAATCTAAAATTTGAAATTTTTTTAAATAAAAATCATCCCCCCACACGCCATATAAAGTACAAAAGGATAGATTTCGCTCATTGTAACAAACCAATTCTGGCAAATAGGCTTCTTTTAACCAATTTG